CAAAAAAATACCAACGGTCAAGATTTAACAAACAAAACTAATAGAAATACTAAAAAAATATAATTTTTAATCGTTGAAGGATGAAAAAAGTACAAAAATAATTTAAAAACTAAAATTGCTCAAAATTAAAAATTTTAAAACAAAAATCGACATTTAACCTTGGGTAAAAGATGCACCTCCCCAACCTCAGTACTAGGTTCAAACGCGTCTCCCTAACCCCAAAAGTGTACTTGTTTTGAAAGAAAATTCATAAATGAAACAAAATTCTTAATCATTTTAGCGGGTTATAATTAATATCAATTTGTCACAAATATTATTTTTTTATATTAAATTTTTTAATATTTAAAAGATATATTAAGTCTCAAATAATCTAAAGTCGAGCTAGATCGACCCCATAAGCAAGGAAACTCTCTTAGTGTCCGTATTTTCATTCACAATACTTGAACTTGAAATCTTATTTTAAAAAAATCAAATTCTTTCTATTCAGATTAATAAATGGTCGGTATTTGTCACATATATTATTAAAAAATTTCATTGTGCCATATTAATTTTCAAATCATGCCAGCAAGGTCTTAAGTGATTAAGGTCGTGAATTAGACTTTCCATAAATGACAAGTTTTCTTCAAATTTTTGTTTAAGTGTGCTTTAATTGATTATTTCTGTACTATATAAGATTGTATATTAATCTTGAACTTTATAGTAAAAAAATTCTTTCTTTTGGATGAACTTAAAAAAAAATTTATATTTTACAATCAAAAAAATATAATTTTTAACGAAATTTATTGCTGCATCCGCTTTGCATTGGCAGAGAATTATGTGGCAATATACTATAATTATAATATTATATAAGATTATAATTTTATAATTATGATTTGACATTAAATAAGTATATTATATAATATTATATAAATAAATACATATAATATTATAATAAATTTTTAAATAAAAAAATTAATTGTATAACAATACATCAAAGACTAAGGCTTACATTTAACCATTAAAAAAAGCAAAACATCGAAGACAATGTATATACTCGCACGTAACGAAGCAGAGATCAACAGAATTTTTTGGGTAACGAAAAAAGATCAATAGATGATCAAATGGTTCCTTTCAAGCTAAAAAAAAAAAAAGAGAGAGAAGGCTTCAGCACGTAACCCTTTTGTAAAGTCGCCGACCGAAAAAACTTTTGAAAAGTCTCCTCACACTGTTATGGTTTGTAGGTGAGGCAAAGGTCATTGCTGTTGATCATATTATTTTGCTTTCTGATCTGCCTTGCATGGAGGGCAGAGCTATGTTGGGATAACGGGGGCAGCTGCCCACCCAATTGTGGAACCTTTAACAATATATTTAGGTTGAGTGGAGTGGAGGAGAAGAAAGAAAAGGAAAAACAAATTATTTGTTTAATTATAAAAAAATTATTTATTTGATTACAAAAAAACTTAGAGGGAAGGGAAAAGAAATTTTTTTTTAAAATTTTTTTTAATTTAGTTACTTATATAAATAAAAATAATAGAATGATATAATTTCCTTTCCTTTTCATTCCTCACTTTCCCCTCTTCTTCATTCTTTCCGGTCTAAACATAAGATAAAAGGCAAATCCATTACTTGATCCTCAACTTTTCTGATATAAGGCACATTTATCCCTAACCTTTATTTTGGACCACCACCACCTATTATTCTTAATATATAATTACCATGTATTTTCGTTGGGCGTTAAAAGTTTTGCCTTCAATATTATTTTGTTGAGAATTATGCAAGCGAATAATTAATAAAACAAAATAAAAAGAAGAAGAGCACAAATTTAACATAAAAAACCTTAAATAGGGAAAAATCATAGAGTTAAATAAGAGATTCACTAATTAAAATTAAAAAATTATTATAATTTAGTGCCACCCTTAACCCATAGGATTTCTGACCAAATCCTCTCCAAGAACCCTTCAAGATTTTACTTAGATCTCTCTATTTTTTCACTCACCACACATCACCCATAGAAGTAGGATCTTCATATCAAAGGTGTGTCTCCACCACACAATTTTGAATTTGTTAATGATACATATTATACTAGATTCTAATAGGGTTTTTAGATTTGTATTAAAGGTATAAATTCAAATTCTAATAAGAATTACAATTTATTTTCATGTAGGTTCTAAGATTCCTTGTAAATTATGTTGAGTCAAATTAAGAGACAAAATCCCACTAGAGCTCCAAGTCCCAAATCCATTATTTTCCATATTTACTTTGAACAATTCAAGAAACAAACTCCAACACATTTCATTGGCAATCATCGATCAAATTTATGCATAAAAAAAAATTATTGAGTCCTTGAAGGTTTTAAACAGTAAAAATAAGGTTAAAACCCCATTTTTGTCCCTGAAGTATTGTACAGACCCTCAATTTGATCCTCAAACTTAAAAAATCACTGATTTGGTCTCTACTGTTTACCATTTTTACCCTGATTTGGTCCTTCCATTAAAAATCTAGTGACATGGCCTGTTACTTCACTGTTACAAGATGACATGTCAAATATTAATACACGTGGAAGACAATAGAACAAAAAAAGTGATGACATGGAAAAACAATAATATAAAAAAATTAAATAAAACTT